CAAATAAAAAATCTAAATACATGGTTAGATTCAGCATATCAAAGAACCCCATATATTCAATTTTTGTTGAAATCAAACAAAGTTTAATTTTGGACCCCAATTTGGACCAACTTGAAAACTGGGCCAAAAATCAAAAATCTAAATACATGTTTAGATTCAGCATATCAAAGAACCTCATATATTCAATTTTTGCTAAAATCAAACAAAGTTTAATTTTGGACCCTTTGGACCTTAATGTAGACCAATTTGAAAACTGGACCCAAAATTAAAAATCTAAATACACTGTTAGATTCGGCATAACAAAATAAATAAATGTGATCAAAGATTTTACAAATCTAATGCGCCATACTGTGCAATTAAAGATTACTTCTTGAAATTTTTCAATATTTGAAATTTGAAAAAAAAATAATATTTGAAGAATAATTCTTTTTTATTTCTGAAATCTGAAATGAGAAAAAATTGACCCCCCACAATTTCTTTTTATCCCCCCCCCCCTTTTTTCCCCCAAAAAATTCTTTCCCTCATGATATGGTCATAATCTCAATTCAAATTTCCAATGGAGTTGGCAACCATAATTACCCATTTAAATTTACCATAGTGCTAACTTAATCTATTTTATAATAGAATTAAAAATATAGTGTCAAATCTTTCATATGGATTTTTTTGTAAAAAAAAAAGATGCAACATTTGCAGATATTTTTACTGGTCTTCCTTTATAAATATGCATTTCTTTAAACATAATTTAAAAGCAGTGTAAGGAAAGTAACCAAAACGTTATATTTGGAATACCTCCCTTACACTGTTTTAAATTATCTTTATTGTTCATTAACCATTACTTTATACATAATTTAAAAGCAGTGTAAGGGAGATAATTTCAATGATGTATTTGATTTATCTCCCTTACACTGCTTTAAATTATGTTTTGTACTAAAGTATTTGTCCATTAACCAGGACAACCTTGTTTTTCCCCCTTTTTTGCCCCTAATTCCTAAATGGTTTGAGCCATAACCCCCCAAAGCAAATCCTAACCATCCCTTTGTAGTATGGAAACTTGTAGTATAATTTCAGAGAGATCCATACACCGTTCCACAGTTATTGTCTGGAAACTAGAAAATGCTTATTTTTGGCCCCTAATTCCTTAACTGTTGGTACCATAACCCCCAAAATCAATCCCAACCTTCCTTTTGTGGTATTTAACCTTATGGTCAAATTTCAAAAAGATCCATTCACTTAAACTAAAGTTAGAGTGCGAAAACCAATGTGTCTTCAGACGACGACAACGCCAACGTCATACCATTATACGACCACAAAATTTTTTTGCGGTCGTATAAAAATCTAAACACTTAGCCACACCTACCCCAACTATAATTAAACTATAGGGTGGTCATATGGGATCTAGAAAGGCAATTAGTTCCTGTCCAACTAATGACACCAGCTGCAGTTAACATAAGTTTTGAGAAAATACAAAACTGACAGAACGTTTAAAACGGGACACAAATTAAATGTACAATTGCTCGTCAGTGAATAAACCAAATAAAACAGCTAGCACATATTCTACAAAGAAAGAAACACATTTAAGATGGAAACACATCTGGGGTTGATATAATGTGATTATAACATGCCTAAATATTCAATATTGTGTTGATGAAAAAACCCAATACATTAAGGAGCTTGGTGGTGAAAAACCCAATTTGATATTTGCTTGAGGGGTGAATTGGAATTGATAATGCAATTAAAAAACTTTATCACCCAATTACATAAAAAAATGGTGGGTAAAAACCCCAATTTGTAAATTCTTATCTGGAGCTCTGAAACGTTAAAGCTATTTTAGTTTTGCCAAATAACAATTCTGACTGTGAGAGAGCATTTTCAATTATTAAGAAATTTACACTGAATTCAGATCAGAACTCAATGATATATTGTGCGCCTTGTTATCATGTAAATGTAACCAAACTGGCAGTTATTTTGAATATTTGCCTAGTAGTGTTGTTTTGAAAGCAGCAAAAACAGGCCACTGTTGAATGCAATAAAAGTTTACAGTAGAATATTGTTGTTTTATATTAACAAATTTGTATAATGTTCATATTAAAAGTCCGCAACTACATCACGCGTTTTCACACGCTTTTTGACATGTCATCATGACATGATTTTTCATTGTCAGAGGTTGGCTAGTATGCACTGGAAGCATAGTACAGCTGAAGCATAATATGACGTCACCTGGTTTAGTTGCCAAAGACGATAACATCATTTCGAGAAATTTTCGTTTTATTAAATTTTTCACCAAAATAATAACTTTAATGGACTGATTTGTTTCTTTTTGCATCAGGGAAAAAACTGAAAGGTCACCCAGTCGCCCATGGCGACCAAAAATTGACCTGGGCGATCTTTTTATTCAGTTGTGGTAGCCCAGGTGGCGAATTGAAAACAAAGTACTTTGACAGACGGAAATCCGCTGTTTACCGTGGCTCCAAGTGCCGACTACTCCACTGACAAAAATATAAATTCAAAAAGAAAAAAAAATCTTTTTAAAATGTATACAGGCAAGTGTCGAGAGTCGTATTGTCGCAAAGTCGCGATAAACAAGGATGTAAAGTCCGTGTTTACCTTTGACTAAATATAGTTCACGTTACTTCAGGTCACTGATTGGTTGTCTATTTAAAGTCCGGAAAGTATTGTATGTTTGCAAGGATAACAAGACAGACGTTCCGATGGTCATTTACAATATGAAGCGATCAAATACCCTGTTCGGTTTTGGCTTCAAGAAAGCGAAGAAATTCAGAGAAGATGACAATAGCATGTTATGAAATAATTTCAGTCAAATAAAAGAACGTATAATATATAATGTTGTTAAGAATCTGGAAAACAGTACCTTTTGTAGTTCCCTTTTCAAAGCCCATGTGGTGTCCAGCCAGAGAATGAAGATCAAAAACGAAAGTAGAATATTGTCGATCACAAATAAATAACATTAGTTCAAAATGATTTTAGTTTCCTACTTACTGAACAATTTACAAAAAAGAGAAAATCAGAGGAGATATCAATTTTATGACAATGCTTTTGAAATACGTGTACAAGTCTTTAGAGAAAAAAGGGGGGTAATTTGTTTACAAATGTACGTAGTTACGCAAAATAAATCGATCAAGATATTTAATAAATTAGATTATTAAAGAAATAAAATTAAATATTCATTGATCATCTACATGTATTTAAGGACAGAGAATTCTTTAGTTGTTTTAAAAAGATATTAAAAAAAAACTGGTACATAGAGCATGAAGATTCCCATTTTGTAAATGATTTTTTTTTATTAAATTTGATTGAAGTCAACAACAAAAATAAGACAAAATTTACATTTTCCCAAGCATCTAAATCACCTCCAGGTATGCTCAGAATGCAGGGTTTTGAGTCTAAAATTTCAAAATTTTCTTGGGGGGCATGCCCCCAAACCCCTCATAGCAAGTTCAGCCGGCTTCGCGGGCTTCACTGGTGATACTCATAGTGAAATAAAGTGGGCTACTAACTTTTTGTCTGGGCTAACAGATTTTCAAGTCTAGGAGCCCAGCTGGCTACTGGCCTCACAAAAATAAGTTTCACCCCTGTGCATTAGAATAGAGATAATCGTATTGTCTTTGAAGCTTGGCCTACGTAAAACGTGGGTTATACTGTAGCATATTGAGTTTACCTAGTCGTATACATGTACATAAGGTGGGCATAAAGCAGAACAGCCAATTTTGTGTATCAATGCATTTTCCCTATAGTAGATATACTGTGATTATACTGGTTGTCATATTAGAATATGGGTTAACGTCACAGCAAAAATATAAAATATCCTTAGAAGACGTCATAATTATAACCGTGTTTTATACTTGTACCACAATGACTTAGTCCAAATAATTATGACGTCTTGAAAGGCTATTATATTTTTTTTCTTAGACGCCTTACATCGATGTAAGGCGTCAAAGAAAAAAAATATAATAGCCTTTCAAGACGTCATAATTATTTGGACTACACCAGTCAGGGGTACTACTTAAACAAGTGATTTCATTATCACCTATTTCAGTGATTTTTTAAATTCAGTTATCACCTATTTAAGTGATTTTGGTGTTTCCTTTGATCTTCAAATGCAAATTTCATTGATTTTCCATATTTTCACAAACTATTCTATAATTTTCCTATATAGATCAATTATCCCTTTATCTTTGGATATCAATTTCACCAGTGCGCTTGGCCAGTAAGTTAGTGCGCTAAAGCTTTTAAAAATACCCTTGGGAATTGTTCTGTAATCAAATATTCATTAACTACTCTTACTATCAGACAAAGGTCAACAATATTAGGTAACCTGACTGGTTTTCTTTATAGTTAGAATGATTTATTTCAAGGTTATGTCCTGATCTACAAATTATTCCAGTTTTTGCATATTTAAATAAACTGTTAAAACTGACAGGCTTATCAAGCAAAAGACAATTTCTGCATGTACATAGTTGTTTTTTCAATGCAATTCTTGTCTTTTTACCAATAAAAAAATCAAGCTTGTGGGAAAAATATCAAAAAAATGTTATAAACACTTATTGAAGTGATTACATTTTAACTTGTCAAATTACTTGTTTCAGTGATTTTAAAAAGTCTGTGCGAAAAATTTTAATATTTCACAGCCAAAATCACTCAAAGAAGTGATTCTAAAATCACTTGTTTAAGTAGTACCCCTGACTGTACACAATGACTATGATGACTTTTAATTTGTTATTCATATAATCAAAAAAAAAAATCCGACCTTAGTTCAAAAAGGTCGACATCTTTTTGTTATTAAACACATATGTGAGAGGGTTAAACTTGTATATGAAATGGGCGTAGTTGAGCTGTTCGATGGGAAGACCAGTACAAACACTTTGACTTGCCGATCTATGCCATGGAAGAAATCAGACTCTGAGATTGACATTTTTTCCAGTTTTGGGCAGATTGGTTTGCTACCAAATTCAACTGTTAATATGTAAATGCAAATATTAAACCTTTGACATTATTTGAAAACCGTAGCTTGCTTGAAGAAACACACGTGCTGGTTGAGGTTTAAACCGCCACAAGGGAGATAACCAATGGACTTGGATGGCTCTAAAAACTAGAATTATGTTCCGGGCCCGTAACATAACCTGTCAATACCCATTTCTGATATAAATATTTGTATATTTCACACATTGCATGTTCAGATGGATTTATCAAACTACAAATTTCTATCCAATGAATTAAAAAAAATATATATATATATATATATATATATATATATAAAACGTCTGAATAATAGTCAACGATTTTTCCCACGAGGGCGCTGGATCGTTACGAGTAACGATACATGTACACAATAAATAAATTATATAAACGCCTAAAAAGTGTACACAACAACACCAATAACAAAAAAAGGAACTATAAATGTAATTATTTATAAATATTTCGGATAACAGATATCCTTCATCAGTAAATATGATTGTGATGTTGAATGAATCATATATCAGTCTACTTAGATTAAACTATAACAATCTTGAAATTTATACAATAAAAAAGTCAAACCGAACATCAGGTAAGACGCTTGCACAATTCTAAATATGTGTTAAACACGACATAGGTTATATGACTAATTACAAAAGAGAGTTCAAATATATGCTTTAAATAAAAATAATAATGTGCGATATGAACTAGCACAATTCTAAAGCTTTAACGGTGACGACAGTTATGATGTTACAAGAACGATTGCGTCAATAAGAATTCCAAATAAACAGCACTGAATGATCTAAATTTGTAAATATTTCAAATTTGACAACGGTAGAGTAGTTACAACAGAGTCTGCGTATTTAAACATCGCAAACAAACGGCCGTTAAAATATGATAATAAAATTTGACTAAGGTTAACTAGTTGAACGTGGCTTGGTACTTTTACATCCCTCAAAAAATTAAGCAATTTAAATTGGTATATTCAACAGATTTTAGAGATGAGTAAGGTAAAGAAATAGAAACAGAGACTGTAATAACAAGCAATATAACCCAAATGTGAAGCACTGCATGGAGTAGAACTACATCTTTTCATTTATCCCATTTGGTGCCAAAGTTGTTAATTTTCTTATCCAAAATCTTTCCCGAGTGAGTCTATCCTCCCTAGACCAAGCAGAGTTGTGATCAATGATTGTAATGGTCAGTCGATTGAGATCTGCCTTAGTGTGGCCAGGGGATCTCAAATGTCGACTGAGAGGGAGGTCTGGCTTGCATTGGTAGTCGCTACGATGACCGTTCATTCGTTTGTGAAACGGCTGTTCTGACTCGCCAACATACTGTTTACCACATTTACACTGTAGGAGATACACAACATTTGGTCATCGTAGCGACTACCAATGCAAGCCAGACCTCCCTCTCAGTCGACATTTGAGATCCCCTGGCCACACTAAGGCAGATCTCAATCGACTGACCATTACAATCATTGATCACAACTCTGCTTGGTCTAGGGAGGATAGACTCACTCGGGAAAGATTTTGGATAAGAAAATTAACAACTTTGGCACCAAATGGGATAAATGAAAAGATGTAGTTCTACTCCATGCAGTGCTTCACATTTGGGTTATATTGCTTGTTATTACAGTCTCTGTTTCTATTTCTTTACCTTACTCATCTCTAAAATCTGTTGAATATACCAATTTAAATTGCTTAATTTTTTGAGGGATGTAAAAGTACCAAGCCACGTTCAACTAGTTAACCTTAGTCAAATTTTATTATCATATTTTAACGGCCGTTTGTTTGTGATGTTTAAATACGCAGACTCTGTTGTAACTACTCTACCGTTGTCAAATTTGAAATATTTACAAATTTAGATCGTTCAGTGCTGTTTATTTGGAATTCTTATTGACGCAATCGTTCTTGTAACATCATAACTGTCGTCACCGTTAAAGCTTTAGAATTGTGCTAGTTCATATCGCACATTATTATTTTTATTTAAAGCATATATTTGAACTCTCTTTTGTAATTAGTCATATAACCTATGTCGTGTTTAACACATATTTAGAATTGTGCAAGCGTCTTACCTGATGTTCGGTTTGACTTTTTTATTGTATAAATTTCAAGATTGTTATAGTTTAATCTAAGTAGACTGATATATGATTCATTCAACATCACAATCATATTTACTGATGAAGGATATCTGTTATCCGAAATATTTATAAATAATTACATTTATAGTTCCTTTTTTTGTTATTGGTGTTGTTGTGTACACTTTTTAGGCGTTTATATATATATATATATATATATATATATATATATATAAGTGCCTATAAATAGCAGCACATGACATACAAATCTATGGGAGTGTGGATTAATCAGTACAGAGATTAATTCAATTACACAAATAAAATTATAGATTGGCAATCTATCTATATATATATATATATATATATAGCGTTTAGTCGACATACAAGGTACGATAATACAAACAAGCATACAATTACGTTAAAAAAAACACGCAGCTAGAATGACGCACTATAATTAAGGATGGTAGAATTTATAAGCATGAATAACGAGGTACAAATGTATTAAAACTGGGACAGTCTATACTAGTAAGTATAGACTGTCCCTGATTAAAATAAAAAAAGCAAACGAAAACGTTAATTAAATCATGATTAAACTGAGCTAGTAAAAACAGAGACATATAATACATATGTCTATGGTAAAAAGTAATAGCATTGATAAAATGGATATGTTCTAAATTGGATGAAAAAAATAATAAAATACATTAATGATCTGTACAAACTGTTAACTTACAGTCATTTCCATTGCATGACTTTGAAAGACTGAGTAGGCATACATATGTGTTATATGTCGACGATCCAACGGTTATAATCAGTGACCGTTGCTTTTGATATAAGAATTTTAATGGTGCTCTCTATACCAAAATATAGGAAAAGCAGGATGACTTTTCCTTTCCTGGATGACGAGGTTCTATGACGAGGTTCCGTTGTTTCCTTCTAATGCATCCAGTATATATTTGTAATTGTTTCTATAAGCGCGCGTGTTTGCATTAGATAGTCTCAGATTTCTATGCATCATATGAACGTAACTAATTTATGATTAAAAATCTTTTACAACAAGAATATCATTAATTACCTAATTTTGATTTTAAAAAATGAGATTCATCGTTGAAGTATGATTCCCACTGGGATTTAGAAAACAAATGTGTCACACCACCTCAACACAGAGACTGGTCGTCCTGAAGTCAGGATAATGTTTCCAGAGAGGGTAACTATTACATGTATTTTGTTAACTATAACGTTAATTCCAGAGTTCATGTTCATATCTCATTAACGTGTTCTCGTCTTGATATGCATGTGATATTTGAAAGCAGTCGTGGAGTGTAGAGGGCGTACGATTGATTGGAAAATATATCATTTTTAAGCCTAAAATCAATCTAAGTGTTTATTCACTTTTTGGGAATTACGCCCCCTTTCAAAAATCCTAGATCCGTCTACTGTTAACTTCACCAATCTATCATCGTCATCGTTATCGTAGTCCTCCTCCTCTTCCTCCTTTTCCTTCTCCTCCTCCTCGTTTCCGAACAACAGCCATCATGACGACATGTTTTCGTATCTGCATGTTAAATAGCTTTAGCTTGAGCTTGCCTTTGACATTGCAAATATATAGCACGAGGGTCTGCATGGATAGGGTTAACAGAATAGAAAATAAAGAATACAGAAACATAGATAAAAAAATAAAGAATGCAAAAGAATGGGGTGCTAAAATATAAAGAATAATGTGCCCTTAAAAAAAGGAATAGAGAAAACGTATCAAAAAATTTGAGAATACAGAAATGAAGGACCATTCCAAACCGTCATATTATGGTTTATCATTTTATTTTGTACTTGTACTTGTGCTTTTATTACACCTGGTATACTTAATTGCCTTCTCTGTACTGATTATTTTTATCATACCTCCATTCCTGAAGTCGGGCTATATATTGCCCCCACCTTATCAGTCCGTCCCTCCGTCCGTCCGTTCATTTGTCCAACAAATATTTCCGTCACATTTTTCTCCACTACAACTAAACAGAATATCTTTATCTTTAATCAACAGCTTGATAGTAAAGAGTTGTAGCATGTGAACACTTTTGGAATTAGTCGAACATATACTTCCTGTTTACCGATACTTTGAAACTTACAAATTGTCGTCACACATTTCTTCGTTCCTACCGAACAAAATGACTTTATATTTGCCCTGCAACTCAACAGTGATGCGTTCTAACCTTTGAAGTCCTGTTTTCAGATACAACTTTGAGTTAAGAGTCGGGATACTGTTGCTTATCCAGTCAACGTTTACATTCTTGATATACATTCGTTTATAAATGTACCTTTGTTATTCCATTGATCGAGATTAATTGAGGTCAGGAAAAAGTAGTTTGGACTCGTGTCATGTTTCTTTTCAAAAAAATTGTGTGTTTGCGTATTTGTTAATTTTATTGTATGTTTGTTTGAATTTTTTAGTTAGTTGTGTTGTATGCACGGTATGTGGTGTATTCTTACCCATTTTTGCCGTTGTTACATTAACCTATAATATGCCTGTTTAGCCGATGTTAACCCAATTTTGTCAATAAACGGAACTATACACAACTGTCATACAAGTGTGAGGTTTAGCTAGCTATAAAACCAGGTTTAACCCACCATTTTCTTCGAAAAATGCCCGTACTAAGTCAGGAATATGACAGTTGTTTTCCATTCGTTCCGTTGGTTGATAAAGTCTAACATATGATTTTGTCAGTTTTTATGGACTTCTCCCTTTTCAAATTTACCTTAATTGGAGTTCGGTATTATTTTCATTATACTTTTTTTTCTATGCCCGTCCGAAGCCAGGTACCCCATAATTGTTGTTTTTTTTTTATATACCATAAGGTTGGTTTTGTATTGCTAAGGGAATTAGTAATGATGACACATAGATTTGTTATATTGTTTTCACACATTTCTAGATACGAGGAGATAAAGAACTTTTATTAGAACTGTATATATTTCTATATAGCAAAATACTGTATGTTGACCATTTAAATATATTATGGTTCATTT